AGCTAGAATACAACAAACTTTAACTGGAAACAGAACCCAGATAAGCAAATAAAGAAGGTGTAAAACTAGAAACACTAAACTAAGAGGAAAACTAAGGCTTTCAAAATCAAACAGATAAACACTGAGGAATCACAACTAACATGACACAAAGACAAACAAATAGACCAGCTCAGACACAGGAACATGAGGGACACAAGAAATACAATATATAATGAAGAGAACTAGATGTGAAACCAAAACGCAGGGTTGTGAATGCAAAGAAACAAATCACAAAATGCTGTAAAAAGACAAAACTCTGGGTCCTAGATGCCAAGACCCTAGCAGCCAGTTAGTGCATAAACACTTGATCAAAGTTCTTGCTGCCAAGGGATTCGTGGGCAGTCACATAGGGGTCAGGTAGGTCTGAATAATTTTTTCCCTCAAAAATGAAATCATCATTTAAAAACTGTGTATTTACTAGTTTACATAAAAGTGAGACAAACATGAAAAAAGACTGCCTTACAAAGACTGTACGAAAATGATGAGCAGCTCCATCTTCTTGATACATTCTGAAAATCTTTTGGATGTTGATTAGCAGTGCCACAAAACACTCATATTGATTACCAACTAACCAGATTGAATTTATTTAAACTCATCTTGTAAACAGTTTTACGTTTCTGCTTACAGTCTGTTCTATTCTGTTCTGTACTGTAACCATTCTAGTCTATTTGAATGAAGTGGCTAGGTCAGAAGAAACCCTATGTACTTATTGTAACAAGATTTGTTACACTAAGTTTGTAATAAGATTTTCCTTCCACTGCTATTCTTCAGGGTTCCTGACTGGTTACAGGAGAGCTCCTATTCTTGGCATCGACCAGGTCAAGATGAAGGTTCAGGTTAAGCAAATTCAGAGCGGCACCTGTGATCAGCACTTCCCTGAAGCCCTGACATGTCACTCTATTCTGTATCTGCCTTTTTACTCAACTAAGGAGATCCTGCGAGACAGACTGACAGAGGCCCTGCTAGCAGATACTGAATTCACACTGTGATGGTGGATCGTATGCAGCTCTAAAGGAGCGTGCACTGTGTCTGTGCTGAGGAGGGATGAGATTTATTTTTACTCTTGGAACTTTTTTTTCCTGTGGTACCTCAGGATAATTAACACTGTGTATTACAATAATATTACACTATAGAAAATGCACAACTTGACTTTGTAAGATTTCTTTTTAAAAAAATTCAACATTCCTACATAAGATGGCTGTGTAACAGCATCAGTATCATAAGGCACTTTAGAATTATCTAACGTTTCTTAATATGTCATAATTTATCCAATAATTTAAATTATTCCAATGAATCAAATCTAATTTTTATGCTCAGACAAAGATGAACAGAATAATTTATTACTTGTTATAAACATCTGACTATGTGTAATACAATCTAAAGTATCACTTCTGTATTATTTATCACTTTATTCTTTGTGTGTTATTTAATCCTGACCAATATTTCTGTCCTAACATGGTCTGAATATGTTTCACTACAAGCTAACATTTACAGCATGACTTTAAGCTAGCACCATAAAGACGGTAAAAGACACTGTAATATGTAGAAATGCATGTGAAAAGTGTTATATTAGCAGTGGCTGTGCTACTCCACACCGCCACTTTAACATTACTGACACTGTGTTTCTTACCTGTAAACAGCTGGTCTTGTGTGATAAAAGCTTGTGCAGAAAGTAGCAGGTGTAGACTGGCCCATAGCACTGTATGAAGTGATAAGATGTGAAAGGACATATATAGGGTACCTTAAAGGGCGCCTTAAAAGTGTTTCCCTGAGCTTTTACTTGCAGCTTGATGTCTAAATAAAAATAAATAAATGTAAATGAAAAAAAAAGAAAGGAGGAGCCCGGAGCTTCGTCTTTCGCTCGGCCTACCCCGCTATAGCAGACGGACCGTCAGAGACTCGAACTTGGCCGTTAAACTCTGAGGTCTGAATGCTGGCCTCTTAAGGCTGTGCACCACACAGCCGGCCAGAAGAAAATAGAAAAAAAGGACATTTATCTTCTGTTGTTCAACAATTTTTTTTCCGTTTTTTTAAATCTATTTAGCTTGTTGTGCAGTATTGTTCCACACAAATGACACATGGAAACCTAGCTATTTTTTTATTGGCTTTCACAAAATGGGACTGCCAATGTTGGAGGTGTTACTGAGCCAAAGTCTTCCTGCTAGCCGGAAACCTGCTGGCGGCGCCACTATGTTCTCAGCACACTCTTCAGCGTCAGCTTTGTTGCCTGTTTTCGGCACACCTACCTAGTCCCACTCATCCACTTTATCTGCTCATGGCAGATTTACCCACACTGAGCACTCCTTGGATTAAGGTAAATTGAAGCAGGTGATTATAAAAAAGACACACAGCTTATCATCTTATCCTTGTGCAACAGCTAAAAGCACTCTGTTCATTTGTTTGCTAGATTAGCCGCTAGCATACACACACTGTGTTAGAGGCTTGTTGCTACCTAGTTAGCGATGCTACACACCTGTTACTGTGTATTTTTCAATGATTCAGCACTCCTTGGATTTTTAGACAGTAATGAGATCATGTGCACACTCCACAGAGGTCCAGAGTCCAAATGTGACCTCTAGCACCAAACGCTTGCTGCAGTTGTTGGTGTCAGAGGTGACACACAAGGTATCAGGTTTTCTGTGCGATTACTTTTTCATATAGGACCAAGTATGTTTGGATAGCGTTTTGCCCTTGCAAACTGCCGTTGAATATTAGACATTGTTGTCTAATGTTATAAATGTATTGATGTGAAAGGTGTAAGTGTGACAAATATGGAATAAGATAGGAAATGAGAAAGGAGGCAAATACTTGTTCACAGGGCTATAGTCTGTAAATGGTCTTCTTTTGGCTATAGTAGATCTTTTACTTGTTCCTTTTTTAATTGTTTGTTAAAATAGTTTTTTCCATCATATTGAGTATAGAGGAATGCAACTGTGAGCTTTAGCGATTATCCCGCTTCAACAGGACCGTGATCCCGATGTGTGAGACAGCAGGGTGCTGCCACTGGTGTTGTAATGTGTGATTTAGTTCCTCCTAACATTTCAGTTTGCTTCCAGTATCTATCCTCTGTGATTACTGGCTCTTTAGACAGATTTAGTAGAAGTGTGTGAGCTATTGGCTCAGTATAAAGGGTCAGTAGTGTTTTCATGTCACCTATCCATCCTCCATTTAGTCACCCAAAGCATGTAGTAAATACTGCTCACTTTTATTCACCTTCTCTTAAATCCAGACAAATTCCCACTTGTTAACGTTGAGCTTCGTGTGTGTGTGTGTGGTTTGTGTGTGTGTGTGTGTGTGTGTGTGTGTGTGTGTGTGTGTGTGTGCCAGTTGCAGCCTCCAAGTTGAACACCATCACCAAATCCAACCTGGGTCAGTGTGTCAGCAAGTACGACCTGCTGGTCTGGTTTGAGATCAGCGAGCTGGAGCCCACTGGAGAGTGAGTATCCACCTGGAGTGTTATATTGACGCACAAGCTTTAAAGGAACCATAAAAATGATCTCCAGGAAGAATATTATAAGTTGGGATGTTGTGTCACCTCCTCCCTCCATGCACAGGTACATCCCAGCCATCGTGGATCACAGTGGAGGCCTGCCCTGTCATGGTACCTACCTGCTGCACCAGGTACAGGATTGGTGCACATGTTGTTTCCTTATTACTCACACAGTGGTAACTGCTTCCTTTGTACACAGTTGAATATCTTCTTTTAAAGCGTAATGTTGCTCTAGCTGTGCTCACTGTGATCCTGAGCTCCTGTTATGTTTGCTGCAGGGGATCCAGCGGAGGATCACAGTGACCCTCATCCACGAGAAGGGCAGCGAGCTCCATTGGAAAGATGTCCGTGAGCTGGTTGTAGGTGAGCAGCCTGCCTTTAGGGTCTAGTCGTGCTATACCTCTGTGTAGAAAACAAAACCCCAAAGCACCGAAACAATGTTTTATAGTGTTTGTGTGCTTTTGATAGAGGAAGACAGGACAGAACATCATTAAAGGGATTTGACTTTGTGAGATCACCCTGAAAACGCACCACTCGGTTCACTCTGAGATATTTTCAGTCTGGAAAGATGAATCTGTCGGGCTTCAGGCTGCTTCTCACTTTAAGCAGTTCATGCTGTAGCTGATGGACCAAAAATGACATTTGATATTTTAGACATTCAGCTGCTGACTCTGAAGCCAACTTTTCTGTATTTGTTTGTTTGTGATTGTGTGACACTGAACCACAGTGCTATGTATATCCTCTGTAACACTCAGACGTTTCCAGATCAGTGTTTCCCCCTCAGCTGTTTCTCACTATAGAGTCTTTCCTCTGTAACAATGAGGCACCAGCAGAGCATATCTGGCTCCCAGTCTGTGGCTGATAGTGCCCCCTGCTGTTAATAACAGGAACAGTGTAACCTTGTATGGAGCTCATAGTGATGGTCTGAAGATTGCTGCTGCAAGGCAGTAATTTGTATCCATGTGTGCTGTCTATTCTGAGCATATGCAGTTATGTGAGCTCTCAGGTTTTATGTATCAGGACATAATTAAAAACAATCAGGTCCTTAGTAGGTCTTAATATGAGGTAAATATAAAACATGAAGTGTTTGTGAGGTTCATCTGCAGCACCTTTGTCTCTGTGAAATGTTTGCTAATTTAACATTTTCCCTCCTAAACAGGAAGGAGTTTGTGGAGGCCCATGTGAATCATGCCTTCAACACATCAGTGGAGAGTCTGTTCCAGGAGTTCAAGCGAGGCTTCTTCCTGGTGTGTGAGCAGGATTTGGTGAGGCTGTTTCGACCAGAGGAGCTGCAGGGAGTGCTGGTCGGCCAGGACGTGCATGACTGGGAAAAGTTCAAACAGGTACAGTCAGCCAAACAGACACAGGCTGTAGTTTCACAGCTGTCCTGTAGCACAATAACTGTGTACTGCATACTGCCAAAAGCATTCAGTCGGCTGCTTTAACACAAATATGAACTTGAGTCACATCTCAGTCTTAATCCAGACTTTTGTATGATAGTATAATATAATAGTCAGCCCACCCTTCG